AAAAAAAAAAAAAAAACTTATTTTAGACACAGACATGAAACTTAAAAATTTTGATTTTTCTATTATAAGCAAGAAACTTAAATATTTTTTTGCATCATATAGTTTAATGAATTTGATTCCATTTTCATATTATTTTTATTGAGAAACTAAACCAGAAATGAATCCACTTGGTTAAGATCTTGACTGCATCATAGTAGCTGTCTATAAATGTTAATGATATGGAACAAACAGCAGGCTTGCCTGTCTATGAAGCTTGTATTTGTGTACATGAGATAATTGTACACATAGTCAAAATCGCGCAGTGGTATGCAACTGCATTTCAGAAAAAGTATTCAATCAGTAAATGATAATTGTCACGAGTTCTCATGGTAGGGAGAAAAAAAGGACTTGGCGATAATATTATCATCCAGGCACCTGTCAGATAGTAGAACAAAATGCTGGTTGTCAGGATCTTTGAGTGCATTTGATAAAAGCCTTCTTTCTGCGTCAACCATTGAAATTCTTCCCCAAACTACCTGTAAATAAGAACCAGCAATATAAACGTTCAGCATTTAAGATTTTATTGTAACATGCTACATTAGGAAAAGGAAATACTATAATAATAGTAGCATATTCAAGCCTTGTTTGGCACAGATTTTTTTTAAAATCATTTTCCCCAAAGATATTTTCAAGAATGCATTCTATGGGACCCACAACTCTTTCTCACTTTTTAACAATAGATTCTAAAATAAAATAAAAATTAAATAAATAAAATAAAAATGAAGTCATTTTTCACTTGGAAAAATCTGTGCCAAACAAGCTTTCAGATTGTAGAACTACAGTACCAATATTATAACACAAAATTCATTTTGCATGAACTAAAAGTTAGAATTTGCACACCCATTGAGCGTGCACAATTTAGCAGTCACAAACAATGCAAAATTATTAAATTAGCTAGCCCAATCCTATCCATTCATTTTTCAAGAACGACCTTAGAACTTATAAGGTCATTGAATGAGAATGCTAATGGAACAGCCTGACCTACATTTAGATAATAAGGTACTTCAGTGAAACAAGAAAGGGAAGATGAAGAGAAAGGAAAAAGAAATGGCAAGATTCCTCACAAAATGATAATTATGGTTTCTCAACCTGATATATGACTAACTCAAATAACACATTAACATCTTAGACACTGAGGTTTGCATGTGAGTTTGTTCCTCTAGGTGTACATTGATGTCACTATAGTTATATGTTGAGAGTAAAAATATAAAGATGCAGATAATCGAGTACCTCAAGAAATGTATATAAAAATCTCAAATTCTAAGCTTCCTCTCAAAATATACGCATCTGCTACAAACAAGCTCATAGCAAGTTTATATTTCAATATGACCCAAATTGTCAAATTTTTGGTAGTATGATAAAAATTTAACTTCCATAAGAGCCTCCATAGCCTGGATAAATCAAATAAGAACAGAATTAGTGTTGACAAAGAGGTAAACCTTGTCGCTACGAATTTCCCGATTGATGAAATAACGACTAAAATGGACTGGTTTTTGCTTCGATGCGTGCACATAGACAGAGAATCTTCCTTCATGTCCCTGCCAAAATAAAAAGGAACAATTAGTTTCGTTAAATTGAATAGTAGAATTCGTATACCATCCACAATTATAGATCGTGAGTAGGAATACAAAAGACATCTATGTAATATGTAATGCCAAAGCTATAGAGCCAATAACATTGACCGTAAACGTCTGGTAGTTGCATTTTCAAGAATTTGTGTTGCATTTCAATTTGTTAAAAAATGTGCCACAATATGCTACCTTAGCTTCTTAGGAAAATATCATCCTTCCAGTTCATTAGGGTCTTACTTTTAATAGTAACAACATTTCTGAGACTTATGTCAACTCATGAAATTAGTACTTATCAAGAAACATGCAGCATCTCACAAATCTTGTTTGCAATCTCATGCTACCAAGCTTCCACAAGGACAAAACTCAAAGACAATTGAGCCAGTGAACTAAATAAAAAGATAAGGTACATTGCTAAAATATGTCATATATAAAGGGAAAAAAAAATTCAAAAACAAGACCCCTTAATTTTGCTCGACGTATATGCTTGGTGACATTTTCCTTTGGCAATAATATAACAATAGCAACTGCCATGTCTCATATTACCAAACCTTGGCTTTAACAATGAAAATGGTCTAAAAATAGTAGAGGGCTCAGATATGAAAACCAAAATGGTTGGCTAAGATAACAACTCAAGACTAAAATAACCATAATCAGGACCTTTTCTTTGTTTTTATTATGAGAAAACAAAACCAGGTGCAGTTAATACAATCATCTAGGAAGTCAAACTGCAAATGAAAACTTCAAATTTGCAAAGCGAACTGTGATCTTATTGTAGTTAAATATATATTCCATGTTCTTTCAAGCCGTCAACGTGGTTTGGCATATTGTCTTGTCAAAATGTTACTTTGTCAATTAGAGCTAAGTAACAACTATAATTTTCCATCAACATCATTTCTATTGTGAATATGGATATTAATTTAACATTAAAAAGAATTGCTGTATTAGAATCATCAAGATGAAAAATTTAAAGTAAAAAATTTCAAAAATATTTGCACTTTCAACTACTTCACAGATACACTAAAAGAGCACTTATACATTGTCTGATAATGAAAAGCATATTGTCCATTTGCATACAAGCAATCAACAGACTCTAGAATCCAATACATTGCACACCGGGTGTTCAGTCAATGTGATTGTTTCCAACTTGTGCAAACCATCAACACCCCACCCTACCAAAACAATAAAAATTAATAAATAGCTACCAAAAGATAAGTCACGTGCACCCCAAGATGACCAAGTATGGTGTGGCTAAGTACTTATTTCATAGAAATACACGAACAGAAGGCATCGAAAAGGCAACTGGCTTGGAATGTAAGAAAAGAATTGCCACCATAACAAATTGCTTAGTTGTAACAAGACCACAAAATTTGACCAGAAACACCATCATGAAGGAGAAAATAGGTTGCAACTACTTAAAATGGGTGAATGAGTATATACGCAGCTGAAATTTCAATTAGAAACTCTCTTTGGTGAGATGTCACCTTGCAAAATTTTTGTTCTACTAAAAGTGAGAAATTCAACACCTGGTTTAAAAAGTTTAACTTTAAACAAACAAACAGTGCACTAATGCACGATTGATAATTAACAAGTTTTCTTTTCAAAATGTTGGAAGGAATAAGTATACTTTCCATTCAAAGGACAGTCCAATGTGCATCAAGTTTCACTTCACTTCCCAAGGTTGGAAGCTCTCACGAATATGTCATTGGGTATATCCAGATTTCCTTTTAAGAGTTACCCTTTCGATTTTCTTTCTACCCAGAAACACAAAATGGGTAACTTATGGTGCGCCTAACCCTATCGTTGTCCTGGTCCTTCCCAAACTTAAGGAAAACATTATACAACCTTCAGAATTCCTGTATACTACATGAATCACTCTTGCCCAATAACATCGATACTTGAATAAAGCTTCCGTCAGAAATTATGTTAATGGATATATAACTCAAAAACTACCATCTTGCACAAAAAGTTGATATCATACATTTATGAAAGAAGCAAATGATAGAAAAAAATAATTAGCTAGAAAATGTGAACTGCAGAAAAAAATTTACCTGAAAAAATTTGTCCCACAGCTTTTCAAAAGGTAAAGCACCCGGTGTCAGAAAAAGGAATGCAATTTTGGAATTCTCTGATAAACTAGGACGCATACTCAGGATATCTTTAATTACGACACGAGATGCAATCTCATCGTCTGTTAGTTCTCTAACAGGAGGAGGTGGAAGCCAGTTAGATAATGCCTTACAACTGTGAGAAGCGAATACATAGCACGCTGTGGAATTCTGAGGAGGATAAACATAAGCACAAATTAAGAACACGATGACTAAAGAAACCAGTATGATAATCCATGTTGGCTTCTTTAAGTGACTACGGTGGCGAGACATCGGCAATGTTTGCATGTCCTTTGTGCCTAGACGACACGTTTGAGCAGTTTCATTTAGAAATGATGCATCACGGATTAATCTCCAAAAGAACTTTTATCTTTTCCAAAGTTCACCGCAAGACCAATTGCCCTATAATATGATTAGCCTATCAGACAAAGATAGAACCTCATAGCATTGCATTCAGTAAGAATCTGAACCTGCAAGGCAAATCAATGTGTATATGTGACAACAACCAAATTGCAAAAAATTCTGACTCTTAAATTGGCCCGATTTGCAGGTGGAAATAAGATTTGAAGCAAATCCATATCACTTATCAACATAAAAAAATGTCATTCCATTTAATTTTATATCAGGATTCAAAGTAAACATACAACAATTGATCCACATCAAAATTCCAATCCCACTAATAGTCCAACAAATTTTTCAAGTTGGTAGAATCAAACTCGAAAGAAACGAAAAAGTGGGAAAAGGAAAAACGTGAGGAAAATCAAAGAGTGACGACCATGGCACCTGAATCCAAGATCCCAGGTTCTGAGCATTGAGTGAATAAAAAATCAAGATAGTACCATGAGAAAGCCCGATAGAGGATGAAACTTGACAAAAGCCTAGGCTCTAGCATATTCAAATTACCTAGGACACCCAACAGAACCCCCCAAATTCATAACAAAAATAAGTTCAAAAGATAGTTCCAGCAAAAATGTCAAACCCAACTTGCACGGCTTGCGCCTGTAAATCAAATCCATAATTTTCAAACCCTTCAAATTTCAATTTCAATTCCAATTCACTCGGTACAGATATATGTTCAAAAAGAGGATTATAACCAAACAGGCACACAAATAAATGCAACCTCCGTTGCATTTAATGAACACCCCTTCAAAAAAAAATTAAAAGAAAAAAAAAAGCAAGAATCACAAATCAGAACAAAATAACCAATAAAATTCAAATTCTATAAACACCCAAATCCAAATAAAAACCCACAAACAAAACCTTATTGCTACCAATAAATTAACAAAAGCAATAAGTAATACCCAATTCCTTGAACAGTGTAAGCTCGAAAGAGATCGAGAAGTTGAATCTTGAAATCCAGTGGATCCGTAAATGCGCGTGCACAATTATAGCATGTGTGTTCAAGATCTAGGGCACATAAAATAATGGAATGGAACCAATCAGAGCAAGAATATGTGTGTAATTATATTTAAATAGAGATGGATATTTGTGTGTTATGTATGGGAAATTTTGAGCTGTCCAAATTTTTTCAGCCGGCAATTTTTACGAACTATCAATTATTTACTATTATTTCCTAATTAATTTTAGACCATGTTTGAGCCGCATTATTTGAAAAAATAAATTTATAAATAGTGATTTGACATCATTTCAATTTAAAGATGACAAAATAATTCGTTCAACTCGATACTCGTGGGCTCCGCTTCAAATGGGGCGAGTAATATCTGCCTAACCGGGTACATGAGATTGGTATGGGGCGAGTGTCATTGCCCGAAGTAGATACATAGCCCTCATCCCATTACCTGCTCCGTTTAATATTAATTTCAAATTTAAGTTTTTATCAAACAAAAATAATAGATGTATCATTATTTTTAAAGAGGACATGAGTTATTTTTAACAAATTTATAAAAAAAGTAATACTATTTACTAAGGACATAATAAATAAAAGCAACAAATAAATGGGGTAGGAGACTTGCCCCACTCCACCTCGGACCCGCCCTGTCACGCTTTAAATGAGTATGGATATGGGGTAAGATAATAAAAATACCCGACGGGATGGGATTGGAAATGGTCGACCCGTCTCATATCCACCCTATTGCCATCCATATTTCAACCACACATTATTCAATAAAATAATATTACACTCAAATTCAAAATTTTTCTTACTTTTTAATTATATATTTTCTATTAATATATTATTCAAAAATATATTATTATGAAAATAATGTGACTCAAATAAGGGCTTGGTGTGGAAAATAAAGGCGGACCCAGACGCAGGGAGAAGTGGGTGGAGAGAGGTCAATAAAATTAAGTCCCAACTTAATGGCCATTATTTGACAAAAAAATTGTTTTATATAGTAAAATTTTGAAGAATGTGTAATTAAAAAATAAAAAAATTTGATTTTACATGAAAAATATTTTATTGTATGAATATTTGTTTAAAAATGAATATGCAAAATAAAGACTTTTAAAATAATGATTATCAAATAAGGCCAAGTCATATTTGGTACAAATTCTTTTATATTCAATTTTATTTTTTAATAAATTATTCAATCACACATTATATAAATAAGATAATTTTACAAGGGAACTCAAATTATTTTTTCTACATTTTAACTACAAAAAATTCACTTTTTACAACGTCTACTCTCCAAAAATTTACATCAAACGTGTCCTAAAGTTGTATTGTTCATTTTTTTTTTCTCAAACTCAATTCATTAAATCNGTCTACTCTCCAAAAATTTACATCAAACGTGTCCTAAAGTTGTATTGTTCATTTTTTTTTTCTCAAACTCAATTCATTAAATCAAGATTTGATGTTTACCACTTGAGCTGAATATCGATATTATGCATAAGCTTAGTCTAATAGTATTAAATATTAATAAATCCAAAATTATAATTTGACAATTACCTTATCACTTTCATGTTTTTTACTATGTACTAAACATGCTTTGAAAATATATTTTGAACATTGAATTAATGAAGATCGAAAACAATTAAAAATGTAGATATTCGAATTTTAATTTCCAAATACAGTGCCCACCTAACATAAGGCCACTGTTATCAAAAGTATATTGGATTCGACAGTTCAATTGGAGAAAATGAGAATCAAAGCCATAAAATTGAAATTAAAATTCATTAATACATAAAATGAACGTCGTTTAATATTAGAACTACTCCTTCGCAATGAAATCGGTCGATTCAATACTTTTTATTTTTTTTAATTTTTATGTACTTATTTTTTTACCATCAATTTGACATTTTTCTCGTATTTTGATTTTGATCTTGACCATCTTTTGTGAATTAATGTCCAAACTAATATATAAAACATTTTTTCAAACTTGGGACATTGAACCCACAAACTTTGATTTGGTAATAAATGTGTTGATGATTTGTTTGCGTTATACAAGAATTTTGTGACATCCATGCAACCATATAGTCGACTATTCAATTGATCAAATTTATCAAAAGATAATGAATAAATTCAATTATAATATATTTTAAAACTAAAATTGAGAAAGAAACTCGATTAGCTGAAAATTGGAGAACCCAAGGCTAGGTTTCTGCTTACCTTTTTTGTAATCTTGACATATATCATTTAGTTACGTCAATGGTCATTGAAACATTAGGACTGACGTTTAGCTGACATAATCCTTTTTTCTACGTGTCACCATTTAGTGTTAACATGTCATCAAATAATATTGTTTAGGGTAATTTTATTACCCCCACAAAATTTATAAAGTACACCACATTATATTCACACCACAATTAAAATATAATTTTAATAAATATATCACAACAAATTTACAATTATATACCTAATTTAGGTTTTAATAAATACACTACAGTTAAACTTCATATTTTTCTTTTCTTCTAGACAAATCTTTCCACCATGTACATTTTATATTGGATGCATCCATGCAGCCACACTAATTTTATTAATTATTTTTTCAAAGAAGGGGAAGAAAAAAATAAGAAGAAAACTTGATTTCCAAAAAATGGGTCCGAATCTTTTTATCAGTGAACTTAATTTATAACTTTAAAGAGGTCACCGAAATGTTTTGAGAGTTATTAAAAGAAGATGTGCCAAATCATACTACACTCATGGAGAGATGCATATTTGTGTTCTTTTTGGAGAGTCTAAACTTTAAGGAAGAAATTTAAATTTCTGCCTACCTTTCTCGGTATGAATTATTATAAACCTGGTTTAATATCTGTGTATTTATTCATTTTGATGAGTAAAGATTTCAGTAACATAATTAATTCTGTGTAGTACAACCTGACTTTTCTACTTCTCTTGTCGATCTTATAAATTATTACATCTAAAATGTTTTTTTTCCTTCACTTTTTCTTTGATCTGCATCATTCATAACTTGTAGTCAAGATGATATATTTACTGCTACTCACTCCACAGATAATGAATTGGAATTTTATTTTTTTTAAAATAAAGAATGATTAAACAAATTGGAGTATATGTTCTCCACGCTATTTTCGGTAAAGAGTTGCATTTTGCAATTATAAGATCTAACGAATTGAACAAAAAAAAAAAATTATAAAGATTGATTAAACAATTTGATGAATTCATACATGTGGTATCACGGAACACAACGAGCAATTATAGAAAAAGAAGAAATTAGATTTAGGTAATTTGTGGTGTGATTTTAATGTGGTGTGATTAATTAAAAGTATATTAATCCTAATTATGTAATTTTACTTCGAGCTATTTAATTAAATAGGAAAAAAAATTTAAAAATTGCGGTGCACTTAATAAATTTTGTGGTGGTATAACCCTATTGTTTATCCCATAAAGAGAACAAAAATTCTTCAAAATACCAGGTTTACTATATGATTTAAGTCCATATTTTTGGTCAAAATAAAAGTAACATTTCATTTTTCTGAATGTGTTTAAATCTCTAATTTCTAACTCTCCAAATTTCTGATTTCAGGTAATAAATAATATCGTTTGACGACGAAAACGTTGCATAGGATCTAATGTTAATTTTTCACCAAGTGGCAATTAGTGTAAGTAAGAAAATAACTTTAGCAATCATTTTTATAATTATTTAAAATTTCGGTAACTATTAGTATAATGAACCTGTTAAGTTAACAAATGATTTATTGCGATAGATCAATTCTCGATAGAGGAGACTCAGGAGAATACGATCGTAAACAGGGCCAGTCGGGATATATTTACAATATAAATCTTTCTCAATAAAAACTATAATATTTGACATTAAAGCGAAGTAAATATGCATTATTACTCAAAATAAGAATTGATTGGTATAGAATCTATAGATAATAAAATAATTACCTTAAATCTAAGAGTAATGTTATTCATAGTGAAAACTGCCAGTAGTCGTCCTAAGTTG